CCAGAGCCTGCCTCGCCCCGGCTGCCCCATGATTCCTACCCAGGGCGCTACTACGTGCGCAAACCGGGATGCGACCTCAGGAAGCGACCTCAGGAAGCGACCTGGTGCGGCTGTGCCTGGCCTCACCTAACACCGTGCAAGGGGGAGAGAATCCCAGCGGCTCCTCTGCTCTGCCACGGGCGGCCGGAGTCCCATCCACCTCCTCATACTGCTTGGCCGCTCAAAGTCTCGAGACGCCCTAGGAGCTCCAAGGTCCACGCGGGAGGAGGCGCTGTACCAAGTGGGCACGCCACCAGACACCACCTGGCTGGAGTGCACACAGCCTCCCACAAGGCGCGGTTGCCTGACCACCACAGGAATCCTGCCCTTTTTCTGGAAAAGTCCCCTTCCGTCCCCCCTTCCCTTCCAATACACTCACCTGCGTCTGGGGGCAGTTCTCGTCCTACCGCGGTACTGGGCACGTCCACGCCAGTGCAAGCTACCCTACCCGGCACAACCGGCCCCACTCAGCGCCTGCCGCCGCCCCCAACCTGCTTTTGCCGACAGGAGGGGCGGTGCCACTTCGCGAGGCGCACAATCCCCTGTACTCCCTCCGCAAGGGGCTGAGCTCTAGGAACTTCATCCGCACGCACAGCCTCGGTCGCCACCACCAGTGTTCCCGCCCAGAGCCCGGACTCGGCACGGCGCACGCACAACCCTTAGCCTTGGCGTCTTAAACAGACCTGGGACAACACGCAGCACGCCCACCCTCCCAGCCCCCACCCCCAGGCCCCCCCGCACTTGCCTGCTACGACTCTCGGAGCTGCAGCTGCTACGGCTCACGCTGCTGGTCGTCAGCACAGCCACGGAGAAGTCACTCCGGGCGGACTCCGCGGAGAGGCGGTAGTGGTGGCGGAGGTGGCGTACCTGTCCCCTGTTCCCAATCTTGCGGTGGCGGGAAGCAGACTGGAACCCGGCAGAACCCCCGCCCCACCGCGCTGCACCGGGGGACCAGGTTCCTCACCCTGCTGGCAGCTGCCTCAGTGACGCCCAGGCGCCGGCGTTCCCACTGTTTGTAGCCGGGCGGGGAGGAGGGGCTTGTTTGGAAGACTGCCAGGAGGCGGGGCCGGCGAAGCGAGTTCGCGGGCCGCGGGTTCGGTGGCGCGAGCCCTGCCCCGCTGCCCCGCAAGTAGGTGCCTAGAAGAAGACACCCAGCAGCAGATGTTTGTCTCCGACCCTCCTGGCTTCCGATTTTCAGCAAGCTCACTGACTGGGTTCCCCTGGCAGCGCAAAGAGCATTGCACACCCAGAAGAGGTAGATTCCGGGTTCAAGTTTGTAAATCCCGAGTCTCCGGGTGCTCTCACAGAGCCAGACCGATTCTCGCGGGGGTTACTTAGATATACATGTATAAAATATATATACGCACATATATAAACATACACATTGCAAGCAGAGTTAAAAAGCTATTCTTCCCACTACTTTACAGCCTAAGGAGCCTGTCCCTCAGCTAAACCCCTGCTGCCCATCTCTGCCTCTTTAGATGTAACCTGACGTTCAAATAAGCCCCAGATACCTGTGTGTGGTGCTATACTCTGCTTCATGCGCAAAATAGAAAACCCTGCTCTTGGCTATACACCTGCTGTTCACTGCAACCTCGCAACGTCCCCAGCGGAAGCTCCTAAACGGGCAACTCTTCACTGAGCGGACATCCCATCGCTGTCTTGCCTTGGCCCTCCCCCACACCCGGGTCAATCGCTTTTCCCTGGAAAAACCTGTGCCTGTCCTCAGACTCAGCCCCACGACTGGGAGTTAAAACCAACCCGAGCCACGCGGTGGGAGCACGCTTTTACACCTGCTCAACCGCTTAATTACGAGAGCACCTGTCCTGTTAGGCGGTTAGGGTTCTTTGTTTTTATTGCAAAAGCTCCTGTCTTAACCCTTCCCCCTAAAAAAAATAATAATAATACATTTAAAAATATCACCTCTCCTACCTACCTGAAAACGACACAGGAGGTAAGAGAGGAACTGAGCAGTGGGCGACTGAGTCGCAGCAAGAACGTGACCGAGGTTACAGCTTCAAGGGCATGATGCGGGTTTGATGCAGCAAGGTCCGCTAAGGGCGCCCAGCGCTCCCCGCCCCCACGCGACGGGCGGAGCTGGGGAAGAAGGCGGGGGACTCCTCTTATCAGGGCGGGGGCTGGGAAGGAGCCTAAATTGCCCCCTTGTCAAGTCATGCATACTAAAGTAGCGGGGCTCAACTACCAACCAAACGAAAGCAGACCATTCCTCAATTTGGGGAACCTAGACTGGGGACATCAAAAATAACTGATTCTGTACCAGCATTCCTGTTGTCACCTCAAATCTACTTACAATTAAATGACCTTAACTGACTTTGTAGGGGTTCCTGGGAAAACTGCTCAAAGAGTCTGCGCCTCTGTGACCTTCCTCTAAAGTTAATTATAATAGTCCCATCCCAGGCAGGCAGGATTGCTTTAAAAAAAAAAAAAAAAAAAAAAAAGGCACGTTTCCAAACATTTATCAAAAATGGGCCTACCAAATTTGCCAATCCAGGCCTAAACCTCTTACAATGCCCTACATCCTACTTCCTAAAGCTAACTTCTTGAAGTTATGGGAGACCTCTCTCTTCAGTTTCACACGTCTTCCAAAGACACTTCTACCTGTAAATGTTGAATTATCATGGAGAACTCCAGAGCAAGTTAGCTTTATAAAGTGAGGTGCCCACGACAGGAGGGGAGTCCAGGAGTGCCAGGTGTAAGACAAACTCAGGGATGACAGCAATAACTAAGAAAGAGAGTTAATTTTTTTAAAAATCCTCCAAAAAGCAACTTTTAAACACTCAACATCTTTGGGTGTTGCAGATTTATTTGTTCAGATGCTGAGAAATATTTTCGATGTCCCATTTAAGAAGCCATTTTACCAAGGAAGTCTTATACGACCAAACAGATTTCTAACCCTTCCATTCCCCAAAACAGGCACACTATTTCCCTGCCTTTTAAAAACAGATTCCAATCAGGAAAATAATTTATTTGGTTATTATTGTCTGCTTTGTAACCCTCCCCCATTCTAAGCCTATATTTTGTAGATTGCTGTGTAGGCCTAAAAAAAATAAACCACCTCCATCTCCCTCCCACTCCCAGCATACAGAAGATCAGTGTCATAAATATGAGTGTGGGGAAGGGCTGAAGGTTTAGAATCTTAACCAACAGTAGTGTGTGTATGTGAGTAAGGGAGGGGAGAAAACCCATGCCTTTCAGGGAGAAAGTACAGAGACATTCATCCTGGTCAACAGTGTTAAGAGTGAACACTAAATTGTTGACTATTTCTCTCGCTCTCACCACAATAAAGCCAGCTTGGTAATTACCAGAGAAAATTCCCAGTCTCTACATCAGTTTCGCTAACTCCTGCTTGAAAATGGGAAATGGGGAATATATCCAACCTCCAATTTACCACAGTTGTATAGCTCTCATGTTAATTCTTTACAGACGTGAAATAGGTGGGTCCGTAGCAACGTGCTGGGCATAAATTAAGCAACAATGGCCACGCGAGGTCCCATTCTCCGCTGAGCTACCGTAGTGGGCACTGCCACCTAGACATCGCCAGCCCCCAACGCCTGGAGATGGCAGAGTCAAATGTGGAGTAGGCTGGCCGCGCGCTGGCTTTTCCAACCCGAAGGATGGGTGCGGTGAAGACCAGCGGAAAAATAACAATCCCAGGCGGCTTTGTACCGTTTCCCCATCCTCTTCCTCTCCAGCACCACACGGGCGCTCTCGCGCACACACCTACCCACACTCCCTCGTGCCAATAATTTAAACTTCTCTCAGGCAAAGGCAGCACCTCGTTCACTGCCACCACCACCCCCTTTACCCTCCCCATCCTTCGAACATTCTACCCCTTCCCCACATCTACCCCGATTCTCTTTTTCGCAGTAGAAAGCCAGTTGGATTCTCCTAAATCTTTGGAAATCACAAAAGTTAAAATGAAGTATGTGTCTTCCCAGCGTCTCATCCCTCTCCCGGCGTCAGTTTAACAATAGCTATTCGAGTAAGGGCGGGGGTGGGGGTGAAAGGAAGCGAGTAAGAATTACAAGGCTGAGCTGGCTCCTAGGGTGGCTGCGAAGACTCCCCCTCGCCCCAAAGGCGAAGTCAGCCGCGTAGGACCACGGACAGGGCTTGGAATACACTTCCCAGCGCCCACCATTGCGAAGCTCCGAGGCAGCCGCCACTCCACAGACACAGCTCCAAGGATCTTATTTACTCTTTACTGAACAAAGGGAATCTCATATCAGGCAGAGGCTTAAGAATTCGGCCCCAAATTGTCTATCTTCTTTTAAAACTGAATCACAGTAATTGGCTCCCATGAATTAGAGCCCGCATACCTAGCAACGACGAGTTTTGACAGCTACTACCCACCCCAGCCCCAGCCCAGTCCCAGCCCTAAGGCGGCGTGTACTTTTTCCGGACAACTACAACTCGCTGCCAGGTACTGAATATAAAATCCATCTGGAAATCCCATCTCCCCAGCACATGCTATCTGGTTAATGCAATTAAGTCTGGGGGTTTCGCTGGTCTAATCTGTAAGTCCAGGCTTCTAATTATCCTTAACGGCACTAAAGCCTCTCCAGTCCTTCAGTTGCTTTGCGAAAGTGGAGGCATGCATTCCCCAAAACCCAAGTTTTCCCTCTCTTCCCACGAAATGAACTTCCAACCTCAATCCCGAAGCTCACTCAACATCTAGACTTCCACTGTACCCCTGCTCTACCCTGGCCACATTCACCACTTAAGTTTCTGCCATTGATATTTGCAAATATTCAGTATGTCAAGCATGCTTCCATCGTCTCTTAAGTATAGCTCTCTAGAATTAAAAAGCAGAGCAGTAGCTTTGAAATGAGACAAACATGTGCAATTAACTTCATATTGTCTATTTCGCTCACTTACAGGTTTTCTGGGTTTGCCAGCGCATCGCTGAAACTAATGATTAAAGAAACCAAACCGAAACTTACCTTTCTCCCTTAAGGTTTTTGTGTATGTATGTTTTTAAAGTAACGGTGCAGTTCTCCCAATAAGGATGAGCAAGAAGCTGCTGGATAGTTCTCTTAAGACAGCACGAAACCTAAACTGTGCTCGGCTTAAAAGAAGCAAATCAAAAGAAAGGCTTTCGACCCCAAAGTCCAACGCTAAAAGAAGTGGCGAAAAAAAAAATATTAAAGGGAAGGGAAAACTTAAAAAAAAAAAGAGAGTTTAAAAAGACGGATAGACTACCCTCCTATTGCCGTTCAACTAAACAAAAAGGGGCAAGAAAAACAAACGAAGGAACAAAGAAAAGAGACGAAAGAACGTTTTTTCAAGACGATGTCTTTCTCCTTGTTGCTTTTTAGTAGGTCGCTACAGGAGTAAGCTGCTGCATCTCTAACTGAGAACAGAAATAACGGGGGAGGACGTCTTAAAAGGGAGGTGGACTGGACCACAGATTTATAGCACCGTATCACCAACCCCTTCTCTGCCTCCGCACTGCCGTGTGTGCAGCTGCTCTGCCAGGCTCCTATCCCGGGCAGCACGCGCGGAAGTATACGCCGAGTCGTGCCACAACGCAACTTGCTCATCTCTCCAGGATCCTGATTGGTCTAGTCGCTTCCATTGAGGCTGCCCAGGCGAGGCCCCTTGATATGATTGGTTAGGAGCTTGTGTCACTCTCGAGAGCTCAATGGAGTCCCGTTTCAAGGTAAGTTGTGCGGGGCGGTACACACTTAACACTGGCGGCGAAGGGAAATGCAAGAAGCAAAAAGAGATGGGGAAAGAGCAACGTGGGAGGGTTGGAACTGTACTATCAGAGTTTGCGATATGGCACGATCTCCTTTTCTCCTAAATCGTTCTGCTTACGAAAAACTCGTTTCCTTTGCCATCATTGCCTCATCTATGGCACGTTTCTTGGTAGCATTAAACTCTGTCCGGTATGTATGAGTCTTTGAGAGCTCCCTCTCTTTGATCTGAGTGAAAGGGATGAAGATACATCCATTACTTGCCCGCATGCTTTTCTAGATCTGTGTTAATTTTATGTCTTTCTCTTTTTTAAGATATGCATATTACAGCTCTCTTGTTTATTAAAATTTTTAAAGCATCCTTTTAGGATAAGGATGAAGGCAGAAATGTTTTTAAATAAAGCCGCACGATTTGAATTAGCTTTCATTTCATATTAGAATAGAAAAGTGCAGGATAAACATCCTGTTCAGGAAAAGAGGTACTGAGCTGACGTCCTTTACTTTCAGGTGTTTGATGCCTCTCAAAAAGAGCAGCTGTATATGAAATTAGAACTAGGCACTCCTCTGCATTTGCTGGCAGTACACTTCTTGGACCACACATGTATTGCTGACAGTAAAGATACCCAAGCCTTTATCTGGGTTCTTTCTCTGAGGATTTAGAAAGTTTAACCAGAAAACCAACTGCTTCCAATGCTTCTGCTGTATAAATGAAAACTACTTTATTGAACCCCATATTTGAATAACATTCTGATGTATTTAATAACATGACGATGAAAGTTTCATTCAAGGTATTTATTTCTTCCTTCAAGTGAAAGTGTGGTCCTTAGGATTAACTTGATATCTAAGTAAAGAAAATATTTATTTGACCTCAGTTCTTTTCCAGCTTGAACTTCTCCTTTCAGTCTTGAAAGATAGCTCCAGCTTCCTAGACAGTACTTAGGTTTCTTATGCAATGTAACACATCATTTCTAGGAGCTCAAGCCTTTCTAAAAGGAATTCCTTTACCTGTTTGTTTACTGCTAGTTGCTATTTTTGAGAATGCCTGGAAGAGGAATCACAGGTAAGGTAAGAGTTAGAGATTGCAGGAGGGTTGAATGGGACAGAGGAGAGAGGGACAGATAGTCACAAAGCAAAATAACTGGAAAGCGAGGGGTGAAGTCAGTTTCTTGAGTGTACTTGAGTGTTGATAAATGATTAATGGTAAAGAACAGAAGATCTGTTTATCTCCCAAAGAGGGAGGTAGTATAGTATCTGAGTTGTATTACTTTGCATGATAATAACTGGAGGTTGGAAAAGAAGGCCTGAATCTGTGTTATCTTATAACTAGCATTTATAATTTTCATGTCCTAATCACTGCCCCCACTTTTTATATAGCATCAGGCTTGTGTTCCTAATTTCAACTTAAAAATATTCTCTAGACCTGCATGAAACTCATGAGAAGGAAAGCAGTTAAAGAAATGGAGTCAATGGGCTGAGGGAAGGACAAAAGAAGAGAAAAAAGAAAGACTACACATTATCTAGAATAGTTTAATTGCTGTATGAATAAACAGTTGGAAGATTGGGTTTGTTGTCATCCTCTTTCAACCCATCCCTTCATCCAGCTCAATAAAGACAAATACAGTTTGGATAAAAGTAAAATACTCTTTAATCAGACTTGTCTATGGAGTAACTTGTCTTTTTTCCTTGTTAACATGCTCTTAATATTGAATTAGTAGATGAGTTTGTGCAATATTCTTAGCACTTTGAAGAAAATCTTTACCATTAACTTATAATTACATAAATGTGCTCTAACTCAGTGGAAACTAACACTTAGTTTTATCTTTTGGTGCATGTTTGTATCCACAACAAAGATGTTGTAGATTACAGTGGTATATTTTCCAAAGGATTGGGGGAGGGTGGATTTGGAAAGGTGGGTGTGGTATGGAATGATGAAAATCTAGCATGTGTGTTACGTAGTTTTAAACAATTACATGGAAAATGGTAAACTTGTTCATCCATATGCAAAATGCTAAATTCTGTGCATTCAGTGTCTGTGCTTTTATCAGTTTGGGCAGAGGAGCAAGTATTTTTCAAAATGTCATTTTCAATGTCTTGTTTATTTCTCTGTAGGCAGAATTTAGTTAAATTGTTTAACAAATTGAAAATATCCTAAAATAGTAATTTACTTCCTTAAGAAACAAATGTTTTTAAATTTAAAAACTTTTAAATGGATAGAGACACCATGTCTAACATTGTTTTTTCAACTTTTAAAAATAACTGAATACAGTCACTTTAAATGAAATGTTATCTGTAAATTTCACTTTGCAATTCATGTTGTCATAGCCTGAAATATTAATATTCTATTTTGAAATTAATAAAGACTATGGATAAACATCACACTCCACATTAAACAATTGTAATCAACTCCTCTTCGTTCATAGTTATGTAAAGAATTATCCACAGCATCATAATTTGCATTAGAAAAGCATTTAAAAGACATTTCAGCTATGATTGTCAAGTTAACTTTGTTATATCTTCAAAGCCTTTGGCATAATTTTAAACTGCAGCAGAAAAGGGAGAGATCTAAAGAGTCACAGAGAGCTGGGAGAAAAAGTTTGATGTGGAGAAAGTTGCCAAAAGAATGGTTCTCAAAGCCGAAAAAGTAGAAATTTAATTGTTTCACAAAGTTTGTTTATAAAGGAACAGTCATTCACAGAAATACTCATAATGTATTGTGAGCAATGTCTTTTAGGATACATAACCCCCTTACATTAGAGGGGGTGTGATTTTAGCATTTTATGGTACAGGGAACTGTAAACGACTATTGTAACTTTTTTTAATAAAGCAAATAAAGCAGAGAAGCTATTTAAGTGAGTTTATAAGTATTATATAGGCTTGGGGGAATAGTTCTAAACATATATTCTTCTCAGATGAATAAAAATATTCTCGGTGTTAGCCTTTTGGACTGTTTGTTGGGGTCTGTGGCTCATAATGTTGGAAATGGGACAGTTTAATGCCTGTGTGAGAAGTATATATATATATATTATATAGATTGATGATTACGTTTTTATTTATTATTCTTAAAGAAGTATGTTAACTTTCCTTCAACAGTTTAGAAAAGAGAACAAGTTATCGAGAAAATTGACAGCAACGTGAGTTTAGAACGTGGCAACCGGACAGGAGAAAAAGGCAGGAATTAGCACCATGGACAGAGACTAGCCGACTCGGAACAAAGGTTTGCAAAGCCTGATAGTGTTTTGTGTCCCTCCCAGGAGACGCGGAAACTGCAATTCTTGGGGACGTTTCATTACACAGGCTTTAAAGACGGGGCTCTTCTACTCCAAAGAAACACCTTTATTTTGAATTAGGCTGGCTTTTGCTAGGACCCGGCCATCGTGACAAACCGCCAGGAGTGTAAGAGCCCTGAACTCGCTGCTCACCCTCCACTGTCCTCTTTTCATCTGCTCCCTTGCCCTGGTGAGACTGGCTGTCATCAAAGTGGTCAGGCAAAATAAATGCAAATCCAGATAGTCATCCAAAAGTCTGCTGAAGCTACTCCAGAGTTTGTAATCCTCGAAATTCCCAGCGAGAATTGTAACAAAAGCGCCCGCTCACCCTTGCTCCCCTCCCCCAATTCTTCTCCCGGCTCCCACCACCTTCTGGCAAAGGGGCAAAGCCTTTTATCTGAAGCATGGGTGACCTCCGAGACTATTTAGTAAAAGACACTTTATATTGCAAACATTTTCCATCAGGGACAGTGCCAGGGGTGGCAATGAGTAGGGTCACGCCCATACTTTACTTTCTCTTTATATTTTGTCTTTAAACTCCTGTTTGAGGGAAAAGACTAAAAAGAGCAGACTCAGACATAATTCCCCCTAAAGCCTGAAGTTGCTATTTACACTTAAAGACACGTGAATTATTTATTTTAAAAATAATCTAGTTTCCTGGTAAATCTTTGCAACCCGATTAGATTGTCTCCCACTCCCCTACCTCACCTCCTCAAACACCATTTGGTTGGCTGGTTGGTTGGTTGGTAGGTTGGTTGGGTTTTTTTTCTGGGCAAAATTTGTATTATGTTCTTTCTCCTTCAGGTGATTTGCCTGCAGATACTCAGACTAAGATCTGTTGCACGTGCCCCAGAACGTCACAGAAAATATATTTGCAGCTTCAGATCGACGATCATTTTTGTAAACGCTCCTAAAAACCGCCTCAGATTTATTTTGCTCCCTTCCTTTACTCCGTAGAAACTTTCAGCCAGATAAACTCAAGTCCTCCAGAGCATGCAAATGGAGATGTAAGCGACCAGGTGAGGTAAGAAAAACTGGAGGTGAGAAAGGGCAAATAAGAGCTTTGTGTCCCTTTCTTTCAGGGATGCTAACAGCCTTCTCTA